TTAGTGGTTTCTGCTTTGATTGAGAAAAATCTATACCCCAGCACTCGAAATATGTTGCTTATAGATAGTCGGTTATGTACCACCACTATCTGAATTATTCATGATCGATTAAAATTGAAAAAAGTTGTGTGCAAGATTTACACCACATAAACTAATCGAAAATCGAAGCGAGAGCAGATTGAAATTCGTCAATAACAGATGCTAAAACATTCTTTAGGGACATGGAGCGATGGCCATGCATCATCCACCTTGCTTCTCTAATTCGACACGATCTGATTTTTGGTGATTCAATTATTTGAAACGGCAAAAAGGGCTATCCCGGTTCCAAAATTCTGACTACAAACTGTAACCAAGGAGACTTGTTTCATACAGCATGATCGATGTCGAACAATATTTTAAGAAAGAGTAGAGCGCTTAAAACTTTGCATGCTAGGTGAGGGCAGTGGCTAGAATTGCTTGAGATACTAAGCTATCTTAAACTGCAGTTCATTCAATAAAAAATATAGATATTCCGAGAACTTTTTGATCACCCTACGTCGATTATTCACAAAAACTATGAGAGTTAATTATTGTATGATTCGACATATTCATTGAAAATGAGCACCCGGTATTGAAACATACATACGGAGGCATGGATGAGGGATCAAGGATCGTCCATGCTGCCATATCGCCTGTAGTTAATGTTCGCCATAATCGTGTAAAAATAGAGTAATTAAAAATTAGGGAGGAAATATCCATTGGTAAAATATTGTCAAGAAGACGTCCCATTCAACCTAACCCATTTCATTTATTTTCCGTCATTTTCACTTGTCATATACTTACAAGCAAAATTAATAGCATACTAGAGATCAGCAGACAAAACTACATCGTCGCATCTCGATATCTTTTTGTGGTCGCGAGTTATTCAGAATTCAAGAAACTTAAAAAAGCGTCCTGAATTCGGAACGCTGGTAAACAAAAGATTAAAATTAAAAAAAAATTAATTTTAAGGTGTAGTTCGAAACACATTAAAACATTCATATGATGACTTTTCGTTCGAATCGACGGAGTAGACAAATTCCTTTGGACTGTCCTAAAAAATTTATCAAAAATCCACTCCATAACACTATTTGTCATTTTATTTTTTCTTCATATTTATTCAAAAAGTAGTTTTCTCTTATGTAATAATGTTTTATCATTATGAAATAGTATCGAGATACAGAGTGACATAACATACTTCTACTTCTTTTACTTTTTGTGTTATATAATCATAATATACATCTGCATTTTTTCTCATATTTGTGAGAATATTTTTTCGCTTGTGTCTATTATATAATCAATAATTTTGCACTTGGGGATCTTGATAATTTACTTTTATGTTATGGTATATAATTGACAACAAAAATGCATAGACATTCACTTTTTTTCTCTCAAACTAATTCAAATTTAAAAATCATCTATCAAAATAATTTGATATGTATTTCATTATTTTATTTGTCAGTTTATTTATTTCATCATTTGCTGCTGAATGTCCGAAATTTAAAACACAAAGTGCATTTGATGTTACAAAGGTACGAATCTTAAAAATTACTTTTTGTAACATTGTTTTCTATTTTCTATATTCAATTTGATATAAATTGCTTTTATTAATTGTAGTACGGTGGTTTATGGTATGAAATTGAACGATCTGATATTATATTTGAATTAGGTTCACGATGTGTTAATGCCACATATACATTAAATCCTAATGGTACTGTTGATGTTTTTAATCAAGAGATTAATTTAATGGGTGAATATACATCAATTCATGGTACAGCCACTGTCAAAGATCCTAAAGTACCAGCAGCATTTGTTGTTCAATTTAATTCAGGTAACAATTACTTCTATATGTGTTCTATATGAAAAAAAATTGTTTTTTTATTTAGGAATCAAAGGTGATTATAATGTGATATCAACAGATTATATAAATTATAGTTTGGTTTATGCATGTGAATCAATTTTGGGATTGAAAGTTGAATTTATTTGGATTCTTTCGTAAGTCTTAATTACACTACTCATTTTTCACTTATTATAAAACTATTTTTATATATTTTTAGACGTGAAAAAACACTATCAGATTCAATTATCAATGAGCTTCAAACAATATTGAAAAATTTTGGTGCTGATATTAGTCAACTGAAGCCAACTGTACAAAAAAATTGTTAAAACAGAATATTACTAACATTATATTTGAAACAGAGTATATTTCTCTCTTTTTCGTATTCTGACTCGCTCAAATAGCTAATAGCTATTTCTGTGAGAAAGGTATTACTTTGAATATGAGAAAAATATACTTTGCAAAAGAAGAGTAAACATTTTTCTTCGTCTAAAAGTTTATAGTAATATCTAACTGTGCAGATATAGTTTTATTTCACTATTCACTGATTGAGTTGAGTGTTTTAATAAAAAAAGTATTAAAATTAACAAAACAGAACGGATCCACTAATTATGAGAGTACATCTGAGACTAAATGGTCTCTTATTCACAACTCTGGTCAGTTTGAAACGCAGAAATCAATTGCTGGAAGCTAAAGAACCCCGCTGGATAAGACCCGAAATCTGGCACTCCTACAACCGTCTACTTCTTTCGTACGGTTGGGGAGCTCTTATCCAAGAATCTGTCATTAGACTTCCTCCAAAACGCCTGGGCTCAAGAAAAATCGAGCTTTTGTGATTGAGGTGTTCAAATGGTTAGTAATTCGGTAAAATGATTATAACTCCAGAAAAAAAAGATATTTTCACAACCGGCTTTTGTCATTAAACTCAGCACACTTTTTTCTGCATGACTGCTTTCAGTCAATGTCACTCTTTGTTGATTATTGTTGAAAAAAAGTTGACAAAGGCATATTAAATGACATATGGGAAGAAGCATTTAGCGTACTAATTCCGATATAACACACATAGGACTCTCCGCAAGTTCAGACTTTGCCAAAAATATTGTGCGATTATAAGCAATACTTTGTTACGACCCTGGACGGTTCGTCTTCTTTTTTATTCACATGTCACTGCACGTGATCATTTCTCTTTTTAATACTTCTCCATGGTCTTCTCGTTCACATTCTAGGCATATAGTTCTTTATTCGTAAGGCGCCGCTAATTCAGAGTTATCCCACTATTTTATTTTTTCAATATTTACACATGCCTGGATACAGGAGAGCGAGCTGAATCTGAAAATCACCTTAAAAGCCTTCCCAGACCTTTTCCTTGCGGTGAAAAACGAAAAATACGCGAAGGATGCTAACTTCGAGAAGAACGACGATAGTTTTTTTTCGTTACATATAGAAGCTTTGAAACATTCATTTTCTGCATCAACATTGCAACTGCATATGCAAATGTGATTTTGAAGTTTTTGCATATTACGAAGCGAGTGAGAAAAGATTCGTTTCCAAGGGAACTCAAAAACATGACCCTGCTGCAAAAGAAGTATCACGTCTCTTGTTTTAAGAGATGAAGCCTTGTTTCATACGGCGTTCGAACCGTCTTCAAGCGGAGAAAAGTTACAACATCTGTAGACTTCTGATTTTTTCCTTTTCTGTTGAGAAATTTCTCTTTTTTTAAACCACAAACGAAAAAATCGAAATTGTGCCCGTAATTCTCAATTTTCTTCATCTGAACTCAACTTTTATGCAATAAAAGTATCATATTCGGAGTCAACGTCCAAAACCAAGTGCAATGGCATATGTTCTGAAGGCTTTTGTTGATTTTCACTTTTTGATGAAAATCTCAGTAATTTTTCAACCTGAAAATTCGAAAAAGCAAAAATGGTCGAATTGGATAAAAAGGTACATCATTCGACTCGGTTTAGGAGGCTGACTCCGAATATGATA